TGGCCAGCTCTGCTGCTCTCCCCAGGGCCTTGTGTGGTGTGGTATGGTATGATGTGGCATGGTGTGGCGTGGTGTGGTGTGTCCCTCCTCTCAGAACTGCAAATAATAAAACTTCCTTCAGTGGCTCTTACTTCTCTGTGGTCACTCAGTCATTTTTATAAAGTATGTCCAGGTATAATCAAAACAAGGGCCACAGCCTTACTTTCAGGGAATAGGGTAGGGCTGTGAGGACCATCCACTCTAAGGTAGAGAGGGGACACTTTACCCACTTGTTTTCGCTTCTTCTGGTAGAAACAGCAATTCCTTTTTTTAAAGGTATACCTTGCCCTTTCTGAAACTTGGTTCTTAGTTTTTTTGTTTTTTTTGTTTTTGTTTTTTCCTTTTGAAACTTGGTTATTTCACTTTTTCTTGTTTTCAGGGAACTGCTACCTCAAAAACTTTCCCTTCTTTCTGTTGAAACTAAGCATAATCCTCGCCGATAGACTACCTTGTAAGGCCCCGAGAAGTTCATTCTCTATACTAGTTCTGTGTGACTATGGTGACTAATTACCACGAATGCAGTACCTGAAAATGAATCTGGTCTTTGTCACTCTGGAGGGCAAATGTCTGGTCTGCTATCAGGGTCTGTATGGCTAGGGTCCTTCTGTAGACTGTAGAGAAGAGTGTGTTTCCTTGCCTTTCTGGCTCCAGAAGCCACCTGTACTCCTTGGCCTGTAGCCCACTCCTCCATCATCAGAGCCAGCACTGTGGCATCTTGCAGTCTCTCTGATTCTGACCCTCCCGCCTAATTCTTAAAAGAACTCTCTTGATGACATTGGACCCACCCACCAGATAGTCCAAATGACCTTCCAGCTCAAGGTCCTTAAAACTCAGTTACATCTGCAGAGTCCCTTTTACCATGTCAAGTAACGTTTGTCTGCTCTATTGCCAATAACAGAAATACTTGAGTCTGGGTAATTTATAAGAATAGGGGTTTATTTAAGTCATGGTTTTGGAGGACAGTGGTCAAAAGACAGAATCTAGTAAGGGTCTTTGCGTTGATGGGGTCTGTAGAACATCACATGGCAAGTGCTTGCATGTCAGTGTCCCTGTCTTCATTCTGTTTTATAATCCCACCAGAATTCAGTCACTGGGCACTCACCTGGTCAGCTTAATCCTAATCACTTACCCAAGGCCCCACCTTTCCACATGATAGTTGGACTAAATTTTTACCCTCTTAATCTCATCACTACCAGAATGGAATCCCAGCACATGAATTACAAGGAGGCACATTACAACCACAGCAATAGCATACTCATTGATCTCAGGAATCTGGATGGGGGCATTATTCCATCTACACACGTATTACCAAATCGAGGTCCCATGGCTAATAACTGGTATATCCAGGAATGGAACCCAACACTTTGGACCTTAAGACACTTATTACTGCTTCCCACAGTCTCGTCTCCATGTGGGAATGGCCGTTCAGTAAACCTCCGACTCATCAGCCCACGCAGCTAGAGGAGTTAAAGGACCGTGCTGTGAGGGCGGCGTCATCCACCTCTCCCGGTGACTCACCAGGACATGGGGCGATGCGTTTAGCTTTGCCTTAGTTGCTTTCTTCAAAGAGGATTAAAACCTTTCTTCTAGAGGTGTTTGGGGATTTAGTGTTGTTAGAAAATACCATGCTATTTTTCATAGGAAGAAGCCCTATGTAAGTAAGGTAATCATGTCATTATCTTTATTTAATCGTTCTGCTTACATCCCCACGTCAGTCCTATTTTCCAGTGAGCATTCACTGGTTTCCAATAGGCTTGCCACAGTGCTGGGCTTATTAAACCACCCTGGCCACCTTGTGTGGAAAATCACATCCTTATTTCACAGATGAAGAAACTGAGGCAAGGAGTGAGAGAGAGGTGAGGATTGCTGATCACGTGCCCTGTCGAAAGCTCTGAGTGTCAGAACTACAATTTAAACATCAGGATTTGGGCTGCCCTCTCCCACCTGGCCTTTTACTTGCTATGTAGCCCCAGGAAGTCCAGGCACACACCATGGGATCTGAATATAAAAAGGCTGGATTGAAACCTCTGAACATTCCATTTCCCTCCTGAAAAGGAGAAGATTCCCCACTGAGTTCCAAGCAGCTTTTGCACCCCCATCTGAAATGACTTTGCTGGAGTCCTGCTGCCAGGGCTCAGCAGAGTGCCCGCCCCTTCGGTGAGACCTGCCTCGCCCTCCTCAGCTCCCACTGCAGCAGGCACGCCTCCTGACCTCTTACTGTGGATACCCCTTTGGGAGGACCCAGGTAGGGCTGGGTTTCCATGGGCCTGAGTCAAATTTCCGTAGATGTTTATAATCCTTCAAGTTGGATGGAGTCTGTAAAAACTACATGTTTTTCTTTTGTGGGGATGAGGAAAACAGAGGAAAGATACATTTCCAACTTTAAGGATTATAAAGACTGCAAGACTGCAACAAAGTCGTGTAACCAAAGATCCTGAGACTGTAGGTGCCTGTGTGAGTGCATGGAACAGAGTCAGACCTCTGCTTCATGCCAGGGGAAAGGGGTGTGGTGACCAGAGGCCTCCAGAGCATGCCATGTTGCAGCATTAAGTCTCCAAGCATCAGGTCAGTGGGTGTGAGTAAAGCAACATCCTAGAAGAGTATACCTGTTGAGAAAAAGGTATGTTTCAGAGTGTATAGCTTAAGGTCAGAAATTGTGATGGATGGATCTGTTGGGTCATTGGGAAAGTCATGACACATTTTTACATAGAAAAATACATCATGACTTTTCTGACGACCCAGTACATTGGCTCAGGGTTCCTCTATTTGGTGTATCTGAGAGAAAGGTGCATATTTTGGACCAATATGGATGATACAGAATGGTCTTCTCTCAAGATCCTTGACTAAATTACATCTGCAGAGCCCCTTTTGCCATATAAGGTAGCATGTTCACAGGTCTCAAGGATCAGGACATAGACACCATTGGAAATTGAGGTCCACAACAGAGGGGAGACTGGGTTCATGGAACTTTCCTCTCTGTCTAAACTAGTGACCCATTATCTGGGGTCCAGGGCCCCTAGGTGTCCATGACCTGGTCTTCATCAAAGACTCCTGTTAAAGTGTGTGTGTGTGTGTGTGTGTGTGTGTGTGTGTGTGTGTGTGTGTGTCAGGGCCTTGCCCATATGGGTTTAAAGATGTGTTTTCTTGGGAGCAGGTTTTCCTGGAAAAGGAGATGTTTCTCCTGTGGCTCCAGAGAAGGCACTGTGGACTGGGCAGGACTGGACCTCTCTCTTCATTATACTAATGCAGAGTCCTCTCAACTCCTAATTTCTATAGAAGTTGGAAGTGAGTTTGCAGGCTCTAATGTTACCTGTTGAGGATACAGGGTGCCTTCCTGACACAAGAGAATGAATGACCCTTGCCTGCATCTGGAGAGTTTCCCTAGCACCTGGCAGGATGTACAACCTCTGGCTCACTGGTCTGTCTGCTGCTGGCTCCACAGTCTCATCCTAAACCCTATGAGGGCAGAGACCGCTCTT